CTTACCTGAACGACCCAGGCTCGAACCCGGAGCGCCTGGCTCGGCCCGGTGCTGAGGGACAGCTCCGCGTGACGTCACGGCGCAGTCTCTCTCTCTCTCTCTCTCTCTCTCTCTCTCTCTCTCTCTCTCTCTCTCTCTCTCTCTCTCTCCTTCCTTTCCTACTTCTCTTCGCGCGCCCTCGCGAGACCCGGAGAAGAAAGGTTGGCTGGGGCCAGGCGCGCTCGTCGCACAGCAGCCGGGCGGTCTTTGCCGTTTCCCTCTGCCTGCTTCCTCTCTTTGAGGTCGTCGCCCGCCCCCAAGTCTCATCCTCCCCCCCCCTTATCGCTTGGAGCACACGGCGGCGCCGCGGGGGAAGAGAGCGAACGTGTCACACTCGCCCTTCGAATCCCCCCACAGGATCCCTCCTGTCTCCCCTCTCCGTATCCCAGCAATTTCCGGTTGGAAGTCTCTTTGTTTAGGCATATCCCAGTACGTCGCCGGCTTCCAGAGCACTAGGTTGGCTGGTCCTTGGGGCTGCCTCGTTGTATTTGAATCGCACTAGTAACCGCCGGTTGGACTTTTTATTTGCAACTCTCTTTTGCCACCCGTTGTATTTCCTGAGAAGACCTACTGTGTGGTGCGCTGCACTAGACTAGAGCAAAATGGAAACAAAGCATCGTGTGGCACCTCACACCTTATTTTGGGTTACAATTTCTTGGTCTGCCATCCTTTACATCAGACTGAATTAGAAACAGGCCGTTCCCTTCTTGTTCCAAACACAACAGCCTAATTGCTGACATTATCTATTTCTGCCATGATCGTTCAATAATGGGTTTAGGCTATTGACAATTAGGTTAATCCTTCTATAACAATTCCCATTGTGGTTGCAGGATCCTTATATTATACTTTATCAACATATTTGAAATCTTATGGATGAATTGCTTTTATCCAAAGTAGAAAGCCCCCTTTCAATCCAGTTTTGCTCATCTGTACCATTGTCTATGAAACTACCATCAAATATTATGACACTAAAACAAGAAAAATGAATTCATTGTTCGGTCACAAAGTTGTGTCGGAATCTTCACAACCCCATGGGCCATAGCACACCAGGCCCTCCTGTCCTCCACTGTCTCCTGGAGTGTGCCCAAATTTATGTTCATTGGGTCAATGACATTATTTAACCATCTCATCCCCTGCTGTGCCCTTCTCCTTTTGCCTTCAATCTTTCCCAACTTCATGGTCTTTTTCCATAAGTCCTCTCTTCTCATTTGGTTGCCAAATTATTTGAGCTTCAAGAAAGACGAATAGTCACCACTTAACATGATGTTATATATGAGGCTGGAAGAGTAGCATTTGTATAAATCAGAAAGTTTTAATATCAAGGATCCTTAAAACAGTTGGACACAAAACTGTAACAAGCAAAGTGTAATTAATGTATTCCTGAACTCTGGAATAGCACAGAACTTGGTACGGTATTTTAATATTTTCCAGCATAGCAATGGCAAAAGTGTGCTGTTCAGTTTTAAAACTAGCCTGGATATATTGTTGTTGTTGTTGTTTTTTTTACCCATGATAGACTATGGAATTGTTAGTTTCACAAGAAATTGTAAGGCATTTGAATCAGTTTATTTGGTTATGATAAGAGAGGGAAAGAAATAACAATTCTATGTGTTAGTCTTTTTACTAGGCATTTCATTCTAAAAGAGCAATGGACAAGAGAATACATCTACTGACATGGCTGGCTTGGTCATATGCAGGAAACTCTCCTATTCTCATTTGGTAGAGATTATAGCAGTTGCTTCCTTTATAGCCATTTTATTGGTTCTTCGAAGTTGTTCCTTTGCATATAGATATAAAAGAATAATTGCAAAATACCAATTTGATAGCATTCAGATTACAGAAAAGATGTGAGTTGGAAAGCAAAGCCAAATATCCTTGACTCCCCCCCCCCACCAGAGGTTAGCTACTTTATTAGTTGAGACACATCACCGAATCTGCTCAAGTCTGAATCCCACTTGCCATCTGCTGAGCTCTCGGCATCATGAAGAGGATGATGCGTAGGAATGATGGGCTGTTGCTGTTCTTGCTGCCTTCTCCCCTCCCACATTTGGTATTCAGCAGCTCAATTTAGATTCTCCTCTGCTATACTAGCTGATTAATTCTGCCCTGTGGAATGGAAAGCCTTTCTGTCTTAGTGCTACATTCTAGGAAAATTTGAGTGCATTTAAAATCTTCCCCTAAAATGTAAATGATTGAACAAAGATACTAGGACCCCACTACCGACACTCAAAATTGTATGTGGACCCTATTTTGGGGTACATCAGATGATGTTTTAAATTGTCCACCTCTGAGTATGACATCCCTTATGGCAGCTATTAGTGGTGAACCTATGGCAGTGGTGGTGAACCTATGGCACGGGTGCCAGAGGCAGCACTCAGAGCCCTCTTTGTGGGCACATGTGCCATTGCCCCAGCCTTGCCTCCCCCCGTGACCCGCTCCTCACCAGCAGTCCCCCTGGAGGAGAGTCGCCCCTGAGCGTGGCCCACGCGGAGCAGCATAGCCAAGGACATGGCAGCCAGGCAGTGTAGACAAGACTCTGCCCTCATGCCCCATCACGCACAGTTGATATTGCCGGGCATGGGCAGAGGGCGTAGCCACCATGGTGCTGTTGGGCTGCCTGGGCAATCTGTGGCGGGCCCTGGAGGCAGTGAGCAGCCCTGCAGGCAGGCGGGGTGGGGGCGGGGCAGGGAATGGAGCGTGGTGGGGCCAGTTTTTGGGCACTCGATCTCTAAAAGGTTTGCCATTACTGTATTAGACTATTACAGTATTGTTAGGATGATGGGGTAAGAAATTGACATATTGTATGAGTAATCCTTGACTTACAACCATTCATTTAGCAACCATTCAAAGTTACAACAGCTCTGAAAAAGTGACTTACGACTAATCCTTGCACCTATAACTGTCACAACATCTCCATAGTCACTGGATCAAAATTTGGATGCTTGGCAACCGGCATATGTTTACAATAGTTGCAGCATCCCAGGGTCATGGGATTGCCATTTGCAACCTTCTCAGCTGCTATCTCGCAAGCAAAGTCAAGGGGGGAAGTTGGATTTGCCTAACAACCATGTGATTCACTTAACAATTATAGTAATTTGCTTAACAATCATGGCAAAAAAGGCATGATTCGTTTAAGAAGCGCCTTGGTTAGCAACAGAAATTCTGATCCCAGTTGTGGTTGTAAGTTGAGGACTACTTGTACTTGTATTCCTGCTTTAGAACTAAAACCACACTGTGGCCACTTTTCACTCAAATCAGGATATTTCTGAAAATATGTAAAATTTGAGCATACTATATGAAAGACTTTTGGAATCAAAGGTAGATGAGGTGACACAAAACAAAGTAAGAAATATGTGGCGTTTTAGAATGCTTTAATATCAAATTACCCCAGTACAAAATGGAATATCTGCTTTTAAAATGTTATCAATTTGCAGGATTCATTACAACAATATGACTTAATATATGCTACTGTTTTAAAAATGCAATAAACATTTTATATTGCTACACATAGTTCAGTGAAATTTTAATATGTTTGAAAGAGTTGTAAAGAAAACTTTCTGAGGTTTTCAGCCTCTGTGTTCCTGGGCTCTTGCCCAAATAATTAAGGATCTATAATTTTTGTTTCAAAAATGTTTTTAGTTTCTAAATAGCCCTTTGAGGTGGACTTGAATGTAATATTGGATGATTCAACAATGATTCAACAAAACATAAACATAAGTAGGTATTTGGCAAAATATTAATTCCCATAAAAATGTAATGCAGAATGCTCACAGAACTATATAAAGAAAATCATTTTTATGGCTTCAGAATGTGGTATGAAAAGCTAATGGCTTGAGGTCTCAAACATCACTATAAACAGGGTACAGGAAAGAAAACAAGAGAATATGGCACTTTAAAGATCTGTTGTCAATATAAAAGACTGAGTAATAATGTTTTTGTTGTGTTCGCTACAACGGAATAACAGCCATTCTGGGAAATGATGTGAAAGCTTCATGAACTGCATGCGTCCACACTCAGAGAATTGTAAAGAAAATATTGATTTGTCTTTCCTGATTCCCATCCCATTTTACATAAATTGAGACTGGATATACTGTATAATGAAAGTTCAAAACTGCATGATTTCTGTAGATGGCAGAATATATATTTATAATATTTGAGTACAAGAATGAAGATATATGTACATACATCAGTATACGCTTGCTTTGAAAATCTTGACCATGAGGAAATCCCATTTTTTTTAAAAAAAAAACTAGGCAGGGAAATGAAAAAAAAAAACCCCCAAATAGGTGAAGACAATGGGGAGAAATCATCTTTACTGCTGCCAAGAAATTCTCTCAAAGTTAACCTCAATTCTTAGAAATCTTTACTATTTCATTATTTCTGCTTCTGATTTAGGCAATAAAGGTGAATCTATGCTTTCAACAGTATGAGAGAAAAGATCCAAAGTGGCAGACTGGAAATCCACTTTAGTCTGCAAATAAGTCATACTCGAATCCTTTCCCTCTCGGTAACTACGGTAGACAATTATGAGAAAAAGAGGAAAAATTCGAATTCAGGTAGCTTCCTGATTTGCTAGGTTTCTCCATGCAGGAAACTTATTAACTTCTGCCTCCCCCCCCCCCCATTTCAGGAACGTTCTCCTACTGCTAACGGTTGCAAATAGTTGCACGCTTCATAATAGAAATCTTGCGTGTTCCAATCCACCCATGTCACCTTGATTCACGGTTGCTACCATCCAGATTCAAAAAGGCATTGTACTCCAGGTGCCAAGCCTTGACACCGAGGCCGGAGTTGGGCACCCAATAAGATTGCTATGAATTGCACAAACCAGGAGCCTTTTAGGCTCTGCGCCCCTTGAACGACCCCATCCTATTCCCGAATTCAATCGGGTTTAGGAATTTAAGGCGGGCTCTGCCGACCCACGCATTTTCGGCCGGGGATTGGCTGAGGAGGGAAGGGGGCGCGGCCGGACGAATGACGGTTTGGCGGAGAGGGCGGGACTATCCAGGGTGACACGTCGGACGGCGGCGCCAGCGGCAGCGGCGACTCTTCCAGGAGAAGCGAGAGTGACGTTTCCACGGTGCTGTTCCCGTTCAGCGAGAAGAGGCGAAGGACTGACACCACCACCCTCCACTTCTTCTCCAGGGCCAGCATGGAACGGCTGGACCAATAGGCGCTGCTCCTTCAAAGGTTTCCGGAATTGGGCCGGGCCCACCTCCTCCGTTACTTAGCTGCAGCCGCCCCTCCCTCTGTTCAGGACCCCCACGCCGCTAGCGGGATCCCTCCCCGTCTCGTGGGAATGGTCCTTTGCTGCCCTGATCCCCAAGAGTGCTGTGCGGGTTAAAGAGGGCCCTTGGGATCTTCCTGGGCAGGGACCCTGGTTCTCCAGCCCGGAATCCCCACACCTACAAAGTGCGCTTCTTCGGTGCTTGTTGCCCTCCCCCTTTTGTCCCTTTAACTTGATCCCCCTCCGGGTTTTGTCCGGGTCTTGGGGCCCCTCAGCCGGTGCCATGCGCTTCTCTTCGCTTCTGTCGCTCCTGCGTCCTGTGGGGCCCGTGGTGGTCGGGGTGTCTCTAGGTTTCACGCTTAGCCTGCTCAGTGTAACCTGGGTGGAGGAGCCGTGTGGGCCCGGCCATGGCAGCTTCCGTGAAGGGGGCCTGGAGCATCATCAGCATCAAGGAGGGCAGGGCAACGCTGCCCGCAAACCGAATTCAGTCTCTGGGGGTCTAGGCACAGAGCCCGAGCAGAGCTGGGAGCCCCGCGTCCTGCCCTACAAGCCTCTGAACCCAGGGAAGGTGACCAAAAAGACCATCAGGTACCTATGGGGAAGGGGAACGGGAGTGGTTGGGGAAGATGGGTCTAGAACACAAACTGTTTTCCAAAGGGGTTTGGGATGTCTTCTCCGTGTAACCTCTGAGCCACCATTTGTGTTGGGCATCAAGTGCAGGGAGCCTTATGAACAGCCTTTTGTAAATGCTGATGTGGATCAGCAACTGGTTTAGGCCTGTGTGTGTGTTTGTTTAGTTCTTGGCCTACCAGCATCAATATCTAAACAATAGGACTGCTTTCATATGACATTGGAATAGCCCCATGAAGTAAGTAGTTAGGAAATGAAGGTTTGAGGGCCAGTTTAGTGTCCCACTAAAACCAGATTGCTCAGGAGTTTATCTTCTGATTTTAATGCATTGGAAATCACTTTGTAAAATCTTAGGTTTGAAGTGTGACAAACTAAGTTTTTAAAATAAATACATATGCATATGCTTGTGGGTATCCATTGGTTCCATTTGGAAGTAGCTGTCAATAACAAGCTTTGGATAACCAAGCTTCATATGACTTGCAAACCTAGAAGACGCCAAAAAATTATTGCAAACAGTTATCAACCTGGAAATAAAAGCCTAATCTTTTGAGGGTTTTTTGTGTTCATAAAACCAGAATTCCAGTCATAAATGATATAAACATTGTTTACAAACCACAGGTGACTTATTGACTGCACTATCCATTGACAAAGCCAGTATGTCCTTATGCAAATCTTAGTATGATATGAAACTGGAAGTGCTGATTCTTGTCCTGCCCAAAAGAGGGAATCATAGGACTGGAAGGGGCCTTGTAGTCCGACCTCCTAAGGTCTGCCTATATAGAACATAGTTGTATTTGTGGTTCCCGGGTCTTATGTCCCACAGCAGACTGCTTTAGTAGGTAACACAAGTGCATTTAGAAAATAAACAGAATTTTGTTCTTATTTACAGTATTATGCATGGCTTTTTCTTCCAACCAGGACTTTCAGAACAATGTACAATCAAATTTTTAAGAAAATAGGAAAAAACTAAAATAATGAGAAAAACAAAATGTTAAAGATGAACCACAGTTACCAGAATTTATAAATGTCCTGCAAACACACACACACCCCAAATCCCAGTACAACTTGGAAACAGTTTGGTTTATTCTAGAAGAGAGTTTTGCAACTGAAATGCTGCTAGAGAAAAGTTTCCATTTCATAGATCTGCCGACTAGGTCCACTTTGATAATGGGGTATATGCCATTAAGCCTCACTGGGAAAACTTTAAATTGGGCAAAAGCTGATATGAAACGAAACCATAGATTCAATGTGGTTAGAGATGTATAAGTCAAAATCAGCAAACAGTGAAGCAAATCAAGCTGTAGTCAACAGTAGACATAATATATAACCTGCATGACTAATAATCATTGATAATCTTTTCCTCTATCAATTTGGCTGAGGCTTTTTTTAAAGCCATCCAAACTGGTAGTCATCTTACACCCTGGACAAGTGAGTGCCATAGCTTAACTCGCCTCTTAAAGGATTGGTGCGTTTATAATCATTCATAATTTAGCTGCAACTTCCTATACCACTGTGATACAGTTGAAGGAAACTCCTAGTTTTAAAGAGCTTAGAAGGATTTATGCCTTGTTTTTTAAGTGATACCCAGGAAAAGTGGGCTGAGGGTAGCATGATATTTGCAGGGTTCATATGGTTTGGTTTTGGTTTTTGCAGAGTTGTTCTCTGGTAGTGGGGCTTGAGCTTGATGGATCTCTGCACCTGATCTCTCACAGGAAAGCTTTGGGCTGCACTCTCACTGTTCAGGAAGTCCTTCTGTGCAAATAGCTTCCTTTAGAAAGAGGTGGGCTGAGGAGGAGTGCTGATGGCAGCTGCTCCCACAAACTAAGTAGTGTGGCGCTGGCTGATTCTGAGCAGGCTGGAGGAGAGGGCTGAGTCACACAACTGTTTGGGCTCCTTCAAAATATTTTCAGACAGTGGAGTTTGTTGTAAGATTAATGCAAGGGCGGACAGTGGATCAGGATCTGTTGTAGGGTTTCCTGGGGATTTGCAGGGGATCCAGACAAGTTTCTGTTTCCTTGTTTCCTTTAGCAGCAGTGAGGTGCCCCCTAGTCTTAAATTATGCTGCAGAAAAATGCAGAAAGGGAAGAAGTCATCCAAAGTAGTCTCATCCCCCCCCCCTTTTATTGGTAAAAGGGCTGAATCCTTTTAATACTGATATCCAGAACAAATACTGAGGTGAAGGTTATATGTCTCCTCAACCCGATTTACAGTAGTTGGTTGATTTGTGTGATTAGTAAAAAATAAAGCAGATTTAAGCCTGAAGTTTGTCCATCTTTGAAACAATGAATGTAGAAATAATGTGTCAAGGCTTTGCCCATTTTGAAAATCATGCAAAAGAAGTGCTGCAGGCTCTATTTATTAAGACATGCAACTTTATTATATTTTAAATGAGAAAAATAACGCACAGAAGCTAATGATTAAGGTAGAAAAATGAGTAAAAAAAGAGAGAGAACCACATAACCAAAAGTGCAGAGCAAAACAAGAAAGAAAAAAAAATATTTGGAAGTGGCTTCCGACTTTCCTTCACAGCAGATAAAAGTATAATGTCACATTGAGCTCTTTACAACATATTCTTCATTTTTCTATTATCTACTGTTTTTTTTCTAATCATCAAATCCGTACGCGGCTATCTTAAATACTCTGGGGAAAAAAGATGGGTTAAGAATCATTTCAACTCTCAAAAAGAATACTTTGTCCTGAGAAAATGCATTCCCCCCCCCCCCCATGCCACTTCTTTTTATATGTAGAAATGCTCTACTTCCCCCCCCCCCCTTCCCTGCAGCAGGGAGTGTGTCAAATGTTACAGTTGCACAGGCTATAAAGCCTATGACTGCTCAGGCATCTATTTTGTGGCAAGGAGTAGAAAGGGAAGCTAAGCCTACCAACAGAATTCCTCTGATAGATCTCCAGCCATTCCTTGTGACTGGAGAATTTACTGCTTATTGACCAGGAATTCCTTGTCTATTATTGCCTTAAAGAATAAACCAACAAAAACTTCTTTTGTGCGGTGCTGCTCACCTCCATTCACTGTACCTTGACTATGTATAGGCATAACTAACGAGGGCGAAAATGCATTTGAGGCATGTTTTTAGATACATTTCTGGTCTGCAGCTTCTGGCCCAAATTGGAGAAAAACATTACAGAAGCACCTTTTCTGTCCTTACATACTATCCGGTCCTGTTTTATCATGCTGTGCTGCCATTAATAGTTAATTTGCTGTGAGGCAGAAAAGTTGGAATTGTGTTTTTCCAAAGCTTTGGACTCTGCTGAAGATAATGTGAAACGACTGCGCCTCCATTTTTATGTACGTACACACACACACACACACACACACACACACACACACACACACACCGATTTCCAGTCTTTTCCAGTAGCCTACACCATGCTCACATTTCTTAAAAGCACCCTAGCTCTTTGCTCCTGCATTTGTACTTCTGTATATCTGTCAGATGAAGGGCCAGGGTGTCTATGGGATGGGGGGGGGGGGAGGAATCAGAGAATATGTATACAGGTAGTCCTCCGTTTATGACCATAATTGATCCCAACATTTCTGTTGCTAAGCGAGACAGTTAAGTGAATGTTGCCCCATTTTATTACCTTTCTTGCTACATTGTAGTTAAAGTTAGTAACACGGTTGTTAAGTGACTCTGGCTTCCCATTGACTTTACTTGTCAGAAGTTTGCAAACAGTGATCCCATGACCCCAGGACATTGCAATGGTCATAAATATGTCAGTTGCCAAGTGTTTGAATTTTGATCCTGTGACCATGGGAATGTCGTTAAGTGTGAAAAACGGTCGCAAATCACTTTTTTTCAGTGCCGTTGTAACTTCGAACAGTCACTAAATGAATGGTTGAAACTCAAGGACTATCTGTATTTATGCTTACATTAAAGCTTCCCTGGCTGATGATAGTTTATTTGGGCCATTAAGTAATTAAAAATCTATCCAATCTTCTTTGGCAAAAACAGAGCAAACTACAGGAGGACTCTTAGCCTTCTGCCTACAGAGGAGCACAATCTATATAACCTCTTGCTTAATTTCATTTGGTCTTCATCCTAATATAGACATTTGATCTCTGGCATAACTGATTGCTTCTTTGCAGCCTGGAGAAAAAGACAGATTCCTGAAGATAGAATTCTCTCCCTTTCTGGCTTTGCCTTTCCCTTTCTGCTAGCATGGTGCTCCCCCACCAAAAAAAGAATGCATCAGAGCAAATATAGCCACTGTATAAAACCAAATGAAAACTGTTTCCCCAGCCTCGTATTAGTCCAAATTCCAGGACAGGGAATAAGTAGGATGATATCATAAAATTGGATAGATAGTTGGGTGCTCTCCAGATGGTTGGACTCCAGTGATTTACCATCCTACTTGGTTGTTTTAGAGCCAAAAACTAAAAATTGATGGTGTTTGTGTATCCCTGAGATCCTAGTTATCCTAGGATGCAAACAGTTGGTATCTAGATGCACGGTGCTCATTGTCGTCTTGCTGCAATTGCTGCTGGTGTAAAGTAAGTTGTCAGTTGTCTCCAACAGAGTAGCAGAGGAGGTGGTATATGCCTTGTGAATTCAGGAGGGGAAAAGCCAAGCTGATAAGTAGTTGATCACATACTTAAGCTCTCCGCATCCACAGCTGTAGGAGAGTGGGCGTGCAGAAAGACAACTTTTGGTGTGGTGCCATGTTGGCTTGTGGACATCTAATTGAGATAGACAAAAGGCAAAACTAAAATATGCCTTGCTGTCACCAGATAGGGCTATGCAATCATCTTGGATATTTGGTGTTTAAGGTAACATTGTGCATATGGCTGCATTGAGGCATGTATCCTCTATTCATCTCTCCACTGCTTTTTTTTTTTTTTTTGCCTTTCCTGTCATTTGAAGACAGTGTGAATATGGAAGAAAGGGGTGCAATGATTTCTTAATACTCAATAATGACCTGGGCATAATTGAAAGGAAAGA